AAAGATTTAACTATCTCTCTCTTTGTGCCTCTCTCTATCTCTTTACTTTTCTTGTTCTTTATCTTTATCATTTTCTGTTCTTCTTGTTTTGGTCGAAGAAAATTCTACTTTTTTTTAAAATTAAGCAATGTTTTTTCTTGACAAAAGATTTCACACAATCCTGTATTTAAAAAAAAAAAAAGTTGATGTTTCTTTTTTTTTTCTTGTTGTATTTCTCAAGCATCTTTGTTTCTTCTTCCTTCATTTATTCATTTTCTGAAGTTTTCGACTAAAAGCAAAAGCTTCTCCAGATTTTTAATGTTCAGCCCATTATTTTCTTTTGAAAATCAACTAGATTGATTCTATTCTTGTTCTTGTGGTCTGATTCATTGCTGCTTCTTAAATCTGTTACTTGGTATCCAACAATCATTTTTTATAGAATTGTTGAGTTTTGGTTCTTGTTGATTATGCATCTTCATTTGTCTTATTTTTTATCTTATTGCCTTTGTTTCTTAATTATTTCGTATTTTTTTTCTGAATACAAAACATTATTATTCAGAAAAGCATTGGACTGAGTTGGTTTTCTATAGGTTAGTTTGGTTTAACTTCTTACTAATTTGTTACCTTTTTTATTCACATTTTACTTTGTAGTCTTTAGAGATTATAATGGAACTAGAGAATAATCAATTCTTACTTGATCCATTAGAGAAGGAGATTGGCGATTAAATCATTGATTGTTGTAATAAGGAGGAACATTTGAGATGGTTATTGACTTTTTTTTCTGAGATGATGAAAATGTATGAATATTATTTTCGGGTTTCACAGTTAGTTAACCGGATAATTTATCAATTATCATCTAATGAGCTTTGAAATATCTGGTCAAGATTCACATGTACGATTACAATGGGAATAATGCAGTGACTAGTAGTACTATGTACGATTACAACGGGAATGATGTTGCTGATGTTGTGGATTCAAACACATCTACTGATGATGAAGTAGACAAAACAAGAGTGAATGAGAAATAGAAAAAAGGGAAAGAGTATCATATTTGGAAATTAAATATCATATCCATCTCAACATATTTTTTACCCAAAAATGTAATTATTACCAGTTTCATTTGAAGATAACACATTTAAAAATATTGGTTAACAAAATGGTATTGCTGGCTATTACAAATTTAATCCAAAACATCTTTATAAAATACAATCATAAAACTCATTGAAAAAATGGTTTAAGAAAAACAAACCATGCATAAATATTACTCTCCCCATGATGTATTCCAACGTTATATTTTAACTTTATGAAAGATATATTAAGTTCTGTTAAACCTGCTATTAAAATTGACTCGTAATAGTTGATTATTAATTTTACAAAATTTACGTATAGTATAATATACAGCACAAAATTGTATTAGAGTTTATGGTGTAAGGTTTAATGTAGGGGTGGGCGTTCAGGTACCCATTCGGGTTCGGTTCGGATCTATTCGGGTTTCGGGTTTTCGGGTTCACAAATTTTAGCTCCATTCGGATATTTCTAAATTTCGGTTCGGGTTCGGTTCGGATCTTTGCGGGTTCGGTTCGGGTTCGGATAACCCATTTAAATTATTTTTAAAATTTTAAAACTGATGATATACTTTACATCTCTAAAAATCTATAAAGAAAATAACATATTACAAATAATTGAATAACATAAGTCAAAATGCCTAAAATTAACATATAAATTAGTTTGATTTGAATATTTGGATTGGGAATCAATAATTTTTAAAAGTATTTTTGATGTTTTAAATGTACTTTAGTAATTTTAGACATGTATGTTTGACTATTTACATATATTTACAAGTATTTTGAATAACTTCAAAGTATTTTATATATATTGAATGTTTTTATATATACATTAAATCTAAAAATAACTAATATATATAGGTATATAAATCTCTTTCGGATATATTCGGGTACCCGAAATACTTCGGTTCGGGTCGGGTTCAGTTTCGGTTCTTTAAATACCAAAATTTTGAACCCATTCGGATATTGAATCAATTTCGGTTCGGATTCGTACTACTTTTTCGGATCGGGTTCGGTTCGGGTTCGGTTCGGTTCTTCGGATCCGGGTTTTTTGCCCAGCCCTAGTTTAATGTTCAAAGTTTAGGATTTAGTTTTGGGGTTAAAGTTTGGAATTTAGGGTTTTGGATTTATGATTTAGAACTTATTGTTTGGAATTTATGGATTATGATTTAGGGTTTAGAGTTTTGGATTTAGGATTTAGGATTTAGGGTTTAGGATTTAAGGTTTGGGTTTAGGGTTTAGGATATAAGGTTTGGGTTTATGGTTTAAAGTTTTGGATTTATAATTTTGGACTTAGGGTTTAGAATATATAATTTATGATCCAGGTTTTAACCATTCATTATAGGGGGTGAACCAAAATATTGTTTTTAATATGTGCAGTGTTGTGATATTTTTAGGATCGGTTAATACTACATATATCTGAATATCTTGTTAGAAAATAATCGAATGATAAATATATCCGGTTACAATGTAATTTATCCGGTTATATTTCTCATCTAGACTTAGCTCCCCGGGCTTTATAATTGTTTTATCTAGATTACATTTTTAATATTCGGCTACGACATACATTAGGTTTGTGTTTTTTTGGCATTTCTTTTTGTTTTTCTTCTTAGTGGCATAGTTTTAATTTTTATCATCTTCTTCCCAAATATGTTGTTGAGTTTCAAAAGCAAAATTTCAGAGCAATCCTACCTTTGTTTCACTGATTTTAATCAGTTTCCTTTGCGTTTTTCTTAATATTTATGCTTAATACTCATAGATTTTACATGTAGCTCTCCATTTTAAGCTTAAAAACCTCAATATGTCATCCAAATCTAATATCAAACCAAATCTACTCTATGGATCATCGTGAAAGGAAGCTTCACTTTGCACTCCCAAACCTGCACACTAAAAACACGAAAAGAAATAAAAATCTAATGAATTGTTAAGTAAATCACTTTTCACTTGTTCTCTAGCTTTTCTCCATTTTTTCTTCGGTGAGAGACATATATTTACAAAATTTACATTCCGACAATATTCTGACTTAAACAATATCCAAATTATTAAATATATTTGTTATATGATGTCTATAGGTTTATCATTTAACTCCAATGATCATCCAAGGATCATTTCGTCATTTTATCTTGCTCGGCTACTCGGTTTTGCAAATAGTTAGTATTGTGATATGCTTCTGCAATTATCCTCCCACTTTTGTATACTCACCTAAAATGAGCCAAAATATATTCAAAACATACCAAGTAAATTCCAAACCATGATTAACTGTAATTAAGGTCCACTGTAACCACAGTGGTTGTGGGTGATGTTACAGGCGCTTGCAAATGCGGATGATTTTGGTTTTAGTTGTTATCAAGAGATATGTAGACCAGTATATAGGTTAGAAATTAATGAGTTTAAAAGATACTTATGATTGATTAATTACCAAATGCAATATGGTTAAATAATAAATTAAAGAATTTATATTTATATAATTAGTAAATATAAATTATGGAACCACCGGTAGCCAAAAACGATAGGTGGAATAAACTTTTGAAATTGAGAGGATTAAAACGGTTTGAAACGATTTGTAGTGTATTCTTTGATTGTTACAAAAAGCTAACAACTACTAGCAACAACAAAAATTGCACTTGTGGGTAATAGTGAAAAAATCAGTCATACCTTTAATCCAAGTTGTTATAAAATTATTGTTAGTTGTGACAAAAAAATTACAAATATACAACTTATTAATAACTTTGTCATCAAGTAAGTTTTTGTAAATAATCATAACCAAATAAACTATGACTTTAATTAACCCACTTGTCTATATCCATCTGTTCTACTTGTTCGCATATTATATACGTATGTTCCTCAACCATTGGAATTTAGAAACCATAAAAGTTTTCTCATTATTGATCATATAATTAGAACACCTCAAAAAAAATTCTCTTATTTAAAATTTGTAAAACTCTAAGTTTAAAGTTATATTTAACTATTCAAACTTAACTTCCAAAACTGTTTAATTTTATACTATAATTTTTATATTTGTCATAACTCATTCAATTTCATAAATATTTTTATAAATAACTAGTACATATATAAAAATATAAATTAATAAAATGTTACACTAATTCATAAAATCATAACATAAATATATAATTAAATATTACAAGACAACAAAATATTTTTATTAAATCTTGTAATCTTGTTGTTGTCTAGTTTTAGTTTTAAAATATTTTAAACTTAATTTAATGTTTATACAAAAAGTATGTGTAACAACCTATGATCTTTAGATGTTTACCCTGCCTTTACACTGTAAGACTTCTTTTATACTGTCATAATTAACATATTTTTAGATGTTTTTAAAAAAATATTTTAAGATTTTTAGATGTTTTACTATAGGATTTCTTTTAAAGACATTTTATTAAAATATATAGATGTTTTCAATGAAAATAAAAGTATTTGTTAAATTAATATAGTAAATTAGTTTTGATAAATTTTTTTAATCTAGTAAATTAGTTTTAACAATATATTCTAATCTAGTAAATTAGTTAAAAAAAAAACGAATAAAAAAACAAGAAAAATACGTGGAACCACGTTCGCCTACACGCAAAAGACTTTAGGTTTCCTACTTCTTCTGCTCCGTTGCCGTTGAGAACAAATTTTAGTTTTCCAAAATTAATAATTAATTTATTAAGAAAACGTATCGGACGGCTGTAACACCACCGAACGCTAACACCATTACTGGCCCAACACGTGTACGGCTATTAACCCTCCGTACCTCCACGCTTCTCGCAAGAAGAAAACGTTTCGAAAGCGAATATTCGGTTGTAATTGGTAATAATGAATTTCTCGTGTACGTTCTGATATACGCTGACGTGTACGTGTCCTTTTAATTCTTATTAAATTTAATTTAACTTAAATTCAAAAACAGTATATAAACCCTTTTAGTCCTCTGTTCATATTTCATTCACATTTAAAAACGTTTTATTTTTGTTATTTTTATTTTCGTTTATTTCTCTCTCTTAGGGAGAAAAAAAAAATCTGTTCATTCATATCAATGGCGATGAGGAAGCTTTTGACGAAGTTCAACATCTCGAACGTTGCATCACAGAGTCTAATGAACTGCCGCATCTCGTCTTCTTCGTTATCCGTACGAACGAGAATCCCGAAGGAATCCGGAGAAGCCACCAGAATTTCCCCGGAGCCCGGAGATTCCCGGAGGTTTCTCCACAACACGGCCATGATTCGGCCGGAGATAATGCAGATGCCGATCGGGGAGAGTCTGATCGAGAAGCTCAGAGAGATCGACGGCAGCAAGGACAGGATCCGATTAGACGGTATCGCTCCGCCGAGGGAGATGACGGAGACGGAGACGGGGGGTTTGACGGTGGAGGATACGAAGAAGCTTCTCAGAGCTGCGCAGATCGAGATCGTGAAGACGAAGCTCAGAGAGACGGGGAAGAGCTGGATGACGTATAAGGAGTTTGTTGGCGTTTGTTGTGAAGCTTCTTCGGATCTTGACGGGGCTAGAGTCGCGAGGATGCTTGATGATTCGGCGAACGTCATCGTTTTGGGGGATTCTGTATGCATACGGCCAGATCAGGTACTTTACATTTTCTTGAACTCGATCTTCTAAAAGTTGTTGTGGATCAATGAAATGAAATGAATCTGTGAGTATATGCAGCTGTTTGGTTTGAACAGATTGGGAGAGATTAAAAAGATCTCAAATTAGGTTTCAAAGAACGTTTTTGTTTTGTTTTGGATTTCGATGCCGAAAACTGATACCATTTTCCATGGGTTGTTGTATCTCTTTCTTTTGGTTCCAATTCAACAGGAGATTCAGAAATACCTCTGTTTAACAGAGTGTAGGAGGTTCCCGAGTTTGAGGTGGTGATAAACAGAGCAACAGTTTCTACAGAGACCACAACTTTTTTCCGATCCCTAAAACATAAAAACCATTGCTTGGATTAGGTTAACTTAATTCAAGAACCTTATACCAAAAAAAAAAAAAAAACCTGACACCAAAACATAAAATGAAAGTCTCAAGAGAGAGAGAGAGGGTTGGAGATGCTTAACTAGTGTTTGCTAGCAGGTTCTTGAGAGATTAGGATAATAGTGGAAATCTTAGTAGACATGATGATGGGTTGTGTTTTATGTGGAGAGACTTGTGTAAGATCTTAACCACAAATGGGATTTTTTTGGGATGGTTTTTTTTTTATTAAATTTTTTTGTTGATTGTAAGCTTAGTGTGTATGTTCTTGAGTGCTAGTTGTGTGTCTCTTTTGAGTGCTAATGGTGTCATAAAGAAGGTGGTGGAGGTATTGTTTTACCAAGACGTTTTGTGTTTTTGTCTTTTGCCTTTGTGTCTCATCAGGTTACAAAATCCATTGAGGGCTTGCTTCCTTTACCAAAGATTCATAACCCAAATGACCCACGGAGGATCGAGTTGAAAGAGCTCGAAGCTGTGAAAGCTGTGATTGATGTGAAGGCGCACTCTTTGGTGCGGAGAGAGCTCTGGGCTGGTCTCGGTTACTTGATCCTGCAGACCGCGGGGTTCATGAGGCTAACGTTTTGGGAACTCTCGTGGGATGTGATGGAGCCAATCTGTTTTTATGTCACTTCCATATACTTTATGGCTGGGTATGGTTTCTTTCTCAGGACTTCGAAAGAGCCTTCTTTTGAAGGGTTTTACCAAAGCAGGTTTGAGGCGAAACAGAAGAAGCTAATGAATGTTCATGAGTTTGATGTTGAGAGGTATGATGAGTTGAAGAAGCTGTTTTGCTCTAAGGCTTCAGATCGTGTTTCCAGGATTCTTGGAACTATCCAGAGGTAGTTTATTGATTAGACGAGTCAAATGTTGTTGTGTCTGATTTTTTCCTAACTAGAGATTTCTACCCAAAAAAAAAGAGAAAAGAATAGGTAGATGGAAGTTCTCATGTTTTCAGTTTTCCAAAGAAAAGAATGGTTCGAACTATTGCGGCTTTGTGTAACATCCGGGAAGAGTTGTGTTCTTCGTTTTCAAGGTTTTCCATCTATGAGATTCATCTTAAATGTAACCATCATGTAAATATAAAATATGTAACTGTTTGAAATGTAATACAAGTTAAGTTGAAGTTATTTTTTTCTTTGCTTGTTACCAGAACAAGGTGAGGTGTAAAAATCTGACTACCAAAATCAGTTCATCTACGTACCAGGAAACATAATGTGTAAAAATTTCAGATTTTTTTTGGTTAAAATATAAATATTATTTAAAAATGAAGTTCATGAGCTACAACATGAGATTAACAAATGTATTAAGATTTTTTTGAGTTTGTTATAATGTGAAGAATTGCATCGACTATTTACTTTTTCTTGTAAAAATTGGTTTCTGATTGCCTACCATTTGTAAGTTTGGTTCCATAGTTTTGTTGATAAAACAACAAATTAATGTTAGATGAACGAAACAGCAAAGACGAATTAAGTGGGGCTAAATGTAATGTCTAGTCAGTCCACGGCTAATGGAAATCAATGTCTATTCATTGGGTTCGTAAATTCCATCACATCTGGCGGATAGTACGTTAATATTCCAAGGTTCTAGAGTTTTGTTTACTGATCATATAATCATAATTCAACTTTTTTTCATGTTTTGGTCTCACTCGTACGGTATCACGAATCACTTTCCGATAGGTTATTCATCTTTTCAATATTCCATTCAAGCACGTTTGACCCTAGAATTCTAAACGGATGTGTGACAGAAAAGGTAAGTCAACTTGGGTAACATATATAGAGCCAAATCAATTTTCTTAAGCCTTTTCAAATATCACAATTCGGAGTGTTACAATTCATCCCCTCTCAAAGAAAGCAACATTCTCGGTGCGTTTACGTTAGGTCTCAAGATGCCTCTTAGGTCAGAACCGAGATGGCTAACCAGCTATGTTACTATTTGTAACGCTCCCTGCTCAGAGCTAATGGGTCATCCACGCCTACTCACTCGACCCGTAGATTCCATCCCAATTGATGGACAGTGCGTTAATTTTGCTAAGGCTCTGGAATCTTGTTTGTTAACTCTGCAGCCATAACCAGACATTTCCTCATATTTTGGCTTCATTCGCACGGTATCACAAATCACTTCTGATAGGTCATCCATCTTTTCATTGCTCCAGTTTAAGCACGTTTAGCCCTGGAATTTTAAACGGATGTATGACAAAAAGTAAGTTAATTTTGGTGACACAGATAGAGAACCAAATTAATTCTCTTAAGTCTTTCCATATATCACAACTTGGGATGTTACACTAAAGATACAATACAGAGTTGAAAATATAATTTCAGTGTTATATATTTAGAAATAAATAATTATCAGAATTTGAATTGTATTACTTAAAATTGCAATTTTAATGACCGGTTGGTGCTAATTTCTAGATTTTAGATCATTATTTTTGTGTCTAGTGTTAAAATTTATATCAAATTTTAAGTTTCTGAAAGACATACAAAAGAATAATAAAGAAAAGAAAGGGAAAGCTAATCAATACTAATAAAACTAGATGATATCTGTGCGTATGCACGAGTGAGTTTTTGATATTAATGCTTTGTTCGGTTTTAATATATTGAAACACTATAATCCTTATCGATTGTACAATGACGAATACAAATGTTAGTCTTTTAAATATATCACATGCATGGGTGTTTGGGGGTCCGTCAGTTTTGATTAGATTGATTTAGATTTTCAATTTTTTGGTATTATGCTCTTCAGTCCTATTTGGGTTTTACTAATTAGCAGATCGGTTTCAGTTCGGTTCATTTTGGATTCGGTTTGGATCGGATTAAAACCAAAATCTGAAATCGTCCCACAAAATATCTTTGAAACTTCAAAATTGACAAAGAATGTCAAAAATCTAAATTATTCGTAAATCTAATTTAAAATTAGTTAAAATATCTGAACTAATTAAATAATATTCAAAATAAAAATAAAACAAACTACAAAATCTTTCGAATAAAATAAAATATCTAAATTACCTTGATATATATAAAAACATTAACATATAATACTAATTTCAGATATCTTTGGATCTAGTTTGGATTTTGATTTGGTTCGGATTATAACCAAATCCCAAAGTACTAAGATCATAAGTTTTCTTCGGATAAATTACAATAGCTAAATTGGGTATTATGGAAAAACAAATATTAGACGAATGATCAGATCTCTCATTTTTCGAACAAACTCAAAAGGAAGTGATTGAAATCTTGTCATTTCATAAAAAGTTTTTAAGAATAAATATCAAGACCAAATTATTTTTTTTTTTAGAAAAAAAAGTTAATCCACTGATTAATTTTTTTTACGTGGGACTTTTACTATTTTTAGTCATTTATAGTCATTTCAAAAATATATAAATATAACATATAAAAAATATAATTTTATTTATATATGCTTAATATGAATGTTTAATTATTTTAATAATATAAAAAGAGAAAATATACAAAATTTTTATCAAATATGTATTGTTCAATAATCATTAATTATCATATATATGTTAATTATAGTAGGTAATTTCGTAGCTTTTATTTAAGGAAACAAAGAATATTATTTTGTACACTAATAATTAATTTGATATTAAGTTTAATAAAAAAGTATAGTATATTTTAAATGGACTAACTTATTTTTTTAATGATCCTGAGAGCTGTTCTGGTGATGACATGTGGCTACGAAAATATGTTATAATGCTCCAGGATTAATATGTAGGGGATACTCAAAAATATATGTAACAATAAGAAAAAAAAAAGAGATTTGCACACTTAAATCAATTTAATGTTTATTATTTTTTTTTGTTTTTTTTTACATCAAAAGGCTGATTGCTCAAGCTTGAGGTGGTCTGAGAAGCCAGACCAGAATAAAACAACCAACCTATAAAAGATCTCAATAGAAGGATCGAGAAGATTTAGCTAGAAAATCAGAAACACCATTATGTGTCCTAGGAACATAGAAGATCTTAAAATATGTGAAGCAAATCCGCAGCGTCATGAGCTTTTACAGTTCTGTTGAGAAGCTTGGCCAGTCTTGAGGGTTTCTGAGCATCGCTATCAGCTCCTTGTAGTCCGTCCCAAAGCTCTGACATGGCGAATATTGAAGCATATTCTCCATTGCCCACCGCTGTGCTTCCAACTCTGAGTGCAAAGCAGACTCCACTCTATTAAATTACGCATACCCATTAACTCACTCTTTCCAATACTGTCATTCCACACCCAACCACATCCACTAAACTGGGCTATAGAGGTCCAAGAACAGTCTACCATACAAATATTCCCCAGACTTATGGCCTGGATTTCGACATCTATGTTTTCCTGAGTTGGCGATATAATCTGCTCATTGGCTACGAAACCAGGCTTGACACTCACTCTCTGCATAACAGGCTAGTTTCAATGGATCTCTATCAATTCCTCTGAACAGCTTATCGTTTCGAGCCTTCCAAATATACCATATTAGCCAGGGATAAGGATCCCTATCCATCCATTATGACATTTTTCCTCCATAAGAGATAGTCCATATTCACATATGTACTCTGTAGTGGAAACAATGTAAGGCTGGAAGGCGTAGATGATAAGGCCCAAACTTGCATTGCAGGTGGACACTGAAAGATTGCATGTGTAACTGATTCTTTTGGCTCTCCAAATCGTGGACAATGGTTATCGCATCTCATATGTCTATAGTTCAAAGTGCTTGTAACAACCACATGTCCCGTTATAATTTGCCACATAAGATGGCACATCTTTTAGGGTGCCTTGACCTTCCATGCATGTGTTTGAAGTTTTGTGATACTGGGTTCACAAACTACAGCGTCATCCTCTTTCAGCATTATATTCCGTGCGGCTCAATATCTAGATTCGACTGTGTACTGTCCATTTCTTGTATAGCTCCAGCAATACATATCCCTGCGATGTGTTGCACTAATAGCCATGCTACTTATGAGTGGTATATCAGCGGCCTCTACGTAGTTCTTCAGCTGACCCAGATCCCAGGAATTTGTTTCTAAAGTAACTTGTAGCAATGGCTACGAGTCCTTCCTCATCCTCAACAAGATTCCCATCTTCGTCCAGTAATTGTGCAATCATGTTCCTTGCTCTTCTCTGCTTCGTGAGGGCGTGAAAGAATTTAGTATTTTTTATCTCCTTCCCTTAACCAAAAAACCCTACACTTCTGTTTTCAAAATAACTCTTCCGCCTTAAGGGAGTCAGACAGTTCCTTTAAGGCTGCCGCAATCTCTTGTGTAGTGGCATCATCATTTGAAGATAATTGATCCACCTTTTCTTTCAACTCCTCCACACTTTTCTCCGAATTCAGATTATGTTGCCTTTTTCAGTCGCATAAGGCTCGCCGGAAACTTGCAATATGATCCATAATACTTGCATCTGGTGGGAGATCCTGTGATTTCCATCCCTCGAGTATGATTTGTCTGAGCTCCTCATTCTCCAGCCATCTCTTATCAAATTTGAATTTTTTTACTCTTCTCGGCTTTTTTTAAGAATGTCAGCGAAGATCGAACGATGATCTGATTCCCATAGCCTCATATAAGTCACCTTGGAATGAGGGAACTTCTCATGCCAGTCCTCATTCCCAAACAGCTCTGTCAAGGTAGCATCTAACCGCAACTCCCCCTGCTCTTTTTCTTGCCCATGATAGCATGTTTCTTGTAAAAGGAAAATCCAGCCTTCCACAATCACTCCGCATTTGTCTAAAGGGGAGGAAAGAGCTATCTGAGCGTTGTCTGCCCCCTTCCTTCTCCTCATGACAGGTAATTTCATTAAAGTCCCCTATCATAAACCAGGGTCCATTTCTTGTTATTGAGAAACGCGTAAGACGTTCCCAGACTAAATCTCTCCTTTCTAGTACATGATCCCCATAAACTAACGTCATATAGACTTTTATTCCATCAATTATTGCATCAACGTCAATCATTATGTTATTAGAAAATAAAAGATTAACTTAAAAATCATCCATAAAGATAAAGCTAGACCTTCGCTGAGACCAAGTGGCTTAACGGTAAACAAACGATCAAATCCTAAGTCGGCCTGAATGTCTTGCATCAGCAGCCTACTGTTCTTCATCTCAGAAATGAATACAAGTCCTGGGTGATGATTTTGACACATCTCCTTAAGGCGTCGAACTGTGAGGTTGTTCCCTATACCTTGACAGTTCCAACTGGGTGTCCTCATTGATAATATGGGGATGGATCTTTGGTACCCATCAAACCATCATCATTTGTTGAAACTTGGCGTGAAGACTTAGTATTATGCCGAGAACGTTTAGCCTTCTCTTTCTCTCCCTGTAACTTATGCCTACTCGATATGATCGATCGCATTTGTGGAGACCCTCGACGAAGAGACTCTGTCTTCTTTGAATGACTCTCAGATGGGGGATTCAGATGATTTACATTTCTTGCGCTCCTGGCTCTCTTAGTTAAATTAGCTGGCTTGAAAGATTTGGTCGCTTTAAGGGTAGGATCTTTCAACTCTAATAGTTCTTCATTGAAGAGATCATCATCTTGTAACTCCTTCTCCATCATGACACTATTTACATCCATCACTCCCGATGTGTCCATATCCCTTAGTGCTACTATTACTTGCTCATTTCCCGCCTCATCCATAGCACCTTGTAACGAAAAGGAACAAGTCACACTCTTGGATTGAAAAGTCACGTTATCACCAATAGGTTCCCATAGTATTGGAGATCGACGGTACTTGCCAGTCTTTTAGAGAGACGATCCCTTCCACTCCTCTTCTCCTCTCTGCGTTGATCATCCTTGTTCAGCATAGCAATGTGGCTTGTCGATGTTTGTTCATAAGGAACCATCTCGCTAGCCTGAGTCACTCTTATGTGAGGAAGCATTGTACGTTGTTCGTCAGCCTGATTTCGTGAGTCACTCTTATATGGGGATGCGTTTGTGCGGCTTGATTTCTCACACCATTGAAGATCAGGTTGTCGAGCATAAGGAACGTTATTATAATGATTCGATCTCCTCTCCTCTATTCTTTTCATCACCCTATCAGGATAGTACCTCTTCTTCTCGATCATCACGTCATGTCGATTAGAGGATGAACCATTGTTCCTGTAATGTGTAATGGACTCTTTTCAGATTTGCTGCTGTGACGAGGGTAAGGCTCTTCAGCATGTTGCCGACTACGTGAAGTTCTATCCATAGAGCTAGTGTAACCGCGATTGCCACTGTTCCTCTGTCCCTTCAACAAAGGTTGATGGGCTGCAATTTCCTGAGGCATCTGAACACGAGAGAAAACACCAGACCGACCAGCTTTTACTTGGTTACTCACCCCACTCTCCCTATCATTGATGACCAGGCATTGTCCTTTTTCATGTGTTAAAAACCCACAAGAAGTGCAATGTTTAAATAGAAGATCATAAGCGATCTGGATCGTAACTTCCTCTCCATGCGGTGAAGACGCAATTGTCTTGAATTTTAGGGGTTTCCTTGTGTCGGTATCAATCAACATACGGCCCTCTTCGAGCTCCAGAGTATCAATTCGTCCTAGACGTCCACCGAGTCCACGTAAATTCTTAACGATCAAGAAATGCGAAGGCATTCCGGTTAGTCGAACCCAAAAAGGAATTACCCACGGATAATCATCATGGACTATGGGTTCCCACTTCACAAGAATAAACATACAATAATTGTAGTGAAAGGGGCCCTGTTGAAGAATAGTGTTGATATCATCCTCAGAGGTGAAGTTGAAGAGGAACTTTCTATTGCCAAGATCATTTGCGCGATCCTGCATACCCCACTGCTTTGGCATATATTGAATCAAATTTTCAACATTCTGCTTCTTAGGGTTTAGTATCTTGCCAATTAATGACATTCGAAATTCGTCCATCAATTCGTCCATCACTTGCGTATCCTGCTTCTTAGAATTTTCAACATTCTGCTTCTTAGGGTTTAGTATCTTGCCAATTATGTTTTCCAATTATATCCGTATTCTTATATACAAATTTAATTTATCATTAATGACAATTTTGTCATTTTTATTTGGGTCTAAAAATATATAATAATGAGTTTCATTAATGGGTTACTTTCAAATTTTATAAAATTTTTCTTGCAAAAATATATTTCCTTTGCGGACCAGACGGGTCAAAATTTTGAGCCGTAAAAATGATTCAACCTGCTGTATAGCGGGTCGGACGAAGCAAGTTTGATCCGTTTCCCAACATCAGGCGTAGTTAACTGATATTATTTTTCCCAAATAAAACTACACAATTATATACAATATATTTACATAGATAGTAATGATAATAATAAATTAAAATCTGCATTAATTTTAAAAAGTATATTAGATAGTGAAATTTTGTAACTAAATAATTTTAGGAATTAATCACAAAACTAAAAAAAATGGTTCATTTAATTGTTAAATATACAATCTTTCTTATGTACAAATTTGAGGTATAACCATTGTTAATATATTTAGAAACATTAAAAATTTGCTTATGACATTGTAAAATAAAAAAATTTTCCTACCCGTATGATAACTTGATTTTAATTCTGTGATATTTTATATGTCAAAGCAAACTACAAAAATAGTTCTCTTACGCAGATCAAAAATCTAGTTTAAGAAAAAAAAAAAAATCCAAAAGTCAGAAATATCCTCGCCCGAACGTTCTCGCTCCAGGTAAGGTACACGCTATTTTCCTTTCTCCGACAACAACAGTAGATCCTGTTTTCCCCCACGATGTCATGTTTCCTCTTTAGTTCCGTTCAAATCTCTACTTGTTGTTAGGGGTCTTTTGTCTTTGTTTCGTTGTCTTATTTTGATGTAAGTCTGCTCTTAATTTTTTTTTTCTTTCAAAAATCTAATTACTGAATCTGAAAAACGAATAGATTGCTCTTAATTCGTAATGTTCAACACTGATCGGTTCGAGTCTATACTCGATAGATCTTATCTTTGTTTCTTTTTTTGGAAGATATAGGGTTTCGATTTTTCTTGTGGATTGAGATTTTAGGGTTTGTCTAATATCGTGATTTAGGGATTTGAATTTACTCTTACTATACGCTTCTAGGGTTTTGTTTTATAATATTGATTTTGATTTCTTGCAGTAATTGTTTACTTGTAAAGATCTGATAGATGGAGAAGGGAGAATCCACAAGCACGTCTTACTCAGACACCAACAGATCAAACGATCAAGACCACGACTTTGAATGCAACATCTGTTTCGAGTTAGCTCAAGATCCCATTGTTACTCTCTGTGGTCACCTCTTTTGCTGGCCTTGCTTATACCGTTGGCTTCACCACCACTCACACTCTCAAGAATGCCCTGTTTGCAAAGCTCTCGTTCAAGACGATAAGCTCGTGCCTCTCTACGGTAGAGGCAAGAACCAGACCGACCCGAGAACAAAACAATACCCTGGAATTAGGATTCCCAACAGACCAGCTGGTCAGAGACCCGAGACAGCTTCTCCTCCTCAGCCTGATGCAGCTACTAACTTTTTCAACTACGGTATTGGTTTGATGGGTGGGTTTATGCCAATGGCGACTACTAGGATTGGGAATTTCAGTTTCGGTGTTGGTGGTTTGTTGCCTTCTTTGTTTAACTTTCAGTTCCATGGTTTCCCTGACGCGAGGCTTTATGGTATGGCGCCTGGTTACCCTTTTGGTGGTTACCATAATGGTTTTCGTGGTGTTCCTTTTAATGGACAAGATGGTAGTAACAATCAACCAATGGCTCGTGGAGGATACCACCAAAGCGATGCAGCTCTGAAGAAGCTTCTCTTAGTGGTTGCAGTTTGTGTGTTTATATTCCTTTTCATGTAACACATTTGAGTTCATTTCAAAGTGTGATAGTGCCAACTCTCTTGCTTGTAATTAGCTGAGTATTCGTTTTTGCTTTGAAGAAGAAACTTGGGTCTATAAGGCTCTTTAGACAACTCATTTACATTTATTTACTTTTGTGTGTTTCTCTCTTCATCTTGTGAAAACTAGTTTTTGTGGAATAAATGTTACATATTGATGACGTAAGGTTGGGTAGATGCTTGCTTCCATGTCCTAATCAGTCTCTTTATAACTCTGTTAGTAACTGATGCATCTTATTGTACTGTTCTATTGCATGTTTAGTTGAGTCTAAACCATTTCAACATCATCCGTGTCTCTGGAGTATGTTTTCTTGAAGGAGATTGTTACTTAGTCTACGAACACGCTTCCAATGGAAACTTAAGAGATTGTATATACGCTAAATCAGTCCTGAGCTTGACTCATGTTGATTACAAATCGCTTTAGATATTAAAGTGGGGCTTAACTATCTACACAACTTCACAGATCCTCCGTACTTTCACATGGATTTCACCAGTGGAAACATTTTCCTCGAGCAAAGATTGTAATTTACGTTTAGTGAGATCGACATAAAGAGAAGGATATTATGTGTTGACCAAGCATGTGGAAGGAACAAGGGAGTATTTATAGAATATCATAACATCAATTCAAAAACACTTTTCGTATTATTTTAGAAAAATAACTCAAAAACTAAAGCCGTCAATCACTCACACAATTCGTAAGAGATGAAACACAATATGCATCTCCTTATATAGAATAGATAACTCCTAAACCTATACTAGACTTAACATATTTTATATGGAGATGCATATTTTATATAGAATAGATAACTCTTAAACCTTTACAAAACCATAACTCGTTAGGTTTAGGAAACTTGCTTCTTAAGCTCTCTTCAAGCTTATTCCAACATCCTCCCCTTAAACTTGAATGCATCTTTGCTCACAATTTCAACTCCGATAAGACTTCTCATTTCTACAAACTTAACACGACGAAGCGATTTCGTCAAAATATCAGCTCTTTGCTCATTTCCCGGAACATGCTCCACTTCAACTAGTTCTTTCTCAACACACTCTCGTATAAAATGAAATCTTCGATGTATATGTTTACTTCGTCCATGGAATACTGGATTCTTGGTGAGTGCGATAGCTGATTTATTATCCACACGTATTGACACCTTTTTGTTTGGTTTTCCAACGACTTCTCCCAACAAATCCTGAAGCCATATCGCTTGTTTAGCTGCTTCGGTTGCAGCCATGAACTCAGCCTCACAAGATGATAATGCAACTATCTCTTGTTTTTGTGACACCGGATTCTCATCAAGATAGAGCACATGTCCTGTGGTTCTCTTGCCATCATCGATATCCACATTATGAGAGCTGTCACTAAAACCCACGAGTTCAAGCTTCCTTGTCAGAGTAAACGATAGACCAAGGTCAGTAGTTCCTTTTAAGTACCGTAGCACCTGCTTCAACGCCGCGCCATGAGACTCCTTGGGATCTTGCATATATCTACTTAATACTCCAAGTGAGAAAGATAAATCTGGTCGGGTATGAAGTAAATAGCGTAGACACCCTATGCTCCTTATGTACTCTGTTTCATTGATTCTCTTCTCGTCAGGTGATCATGATAGCTTCACGTTCATGTCCATAGGTATGTGCGTTGAGTTGCAATCACTCATCCCCGTCAACCCAAGTATTTTACAAGCATATCAATCATGTGTTCAAGATGATGCCATCGCCATAGTGATCCACCTCGATTCCCAAGTAATATGTCAGTTTACCAAGATCACTCATCTCAAACTTGGTAGACATTCATCATTTGAACTCATTGATTGAGTGCAAAGATGTTCATGTCACAAGTAAGTCTTCCACATATACAGCTACGATGAGAAGGCCATTGTTCTCTTCTTTTCTATACACTGATGGTTCTTTAGAACATCTTACGAACTTAAGCTCTAAAAGAATATGGTTTAGCTTTGTATTCCAAACCCCTGGGTGCTTGCTTTAGACCATAAAGTGTTTCTTTGCTTGTATACTTTATTTTCTTTTCCTGCAACGTGAAAGCCTTCTGGTTGTAGCACATAGAATTCTTCCTTTAATTCTCCATGTAAAAACGTTGTCTTTACGTCGAGATGGTGTATTTCCCATCCTTCATATGCTGCTAAAGCAATGATCAGACGGATAGTTTCAATACGTGCTACAGGAGCCAAAACCTCGTCGTAGTCAACACCATGTCGCTGAACATATCCTTTTGCTACTAAGCTAGCTTTATATTTACTGATACTCCCATCTGCGTTTCTTTTTATCTTAAAGACCCACTTTAAACCAATAGGTTTTACTCCAAGAGGAAGATCAACAAGCTCCCATGTATCATTTTTTTTTTCAATTGATATGATCTCATCTTCACACACATCTACCCAAACTTTTAATTCATTGGCTTCATTGTAATCCCATGGCTCGTCGTTTGTTATCATCAGAAGTCGTTCACACTCAATTTCTGCAACGAGAATATAATCATCAAGATATGAAGGTTTAGTGATCTGTCTTGTTGATCGTTGTTCTTCTGGTTGATTATGTTCACGTGTTTCATCACCATCTTATTCCCCATCTCTATGAAGCTCTTCACTAACAGTAGGATCATGATCGTTCTCTTGAGTGTCTTCTCTGAGTTCTGCAACTGCTTCATTCATCTCTCTCAATCCAATAGTGAACATACCATTATCGAGTTGTGTCGTTGCTCTGTTGTTCCAGTCCCATGCTCTGTTTTCTTTAAAAACAACATCACGACTTACTATGATCTTCTTGGTAGAAAGATCAAGCAGTCGGTAAGCGTTGGAGCCGCATTTGGTTCCGAGATGAACCAAGCTTCTTGACCTATCATCGAGTTTTCTTCTTCCTACCGTATCTGTTCTTGCGTGACACACGCAATCGAAAACACGGAGATGACCAAGGCTTGGTTTCTTACTTCCCAGAGCTTTGTAAGGTGTCATTCCTTTCAATGATCTTGTCGTGATTCTGTTGATTAGGTAAGTAGTGCGTCTGACAGCCTCTCCCCATAGAATGTTAGGTACGTTCATGTGTTTCAGAATGCTTCTCGTCATCTCGAGGAATGTTCCATTCCGTCTTTCTACGACCCCGTTTTGTTGAGGTGAGTTTGGTGCTGTCAAATGTCTCTTGATTCCGTTCTTGTTGCAGTATTCTTGAAACTCATGTGACATAAACTCTCCACCACGATCCGCTCAAAATGTTATCAATACTTCTTTTGTTTCTTGCTCGACTGATGCCTTAAAGCATTTGAATTTTCCAAAGGCTTCACTTTTCTCAATCAACAATATGGTCCACATGTAGCGGGAATGGTCATCGATAAGGACAAATACATATTTCTTCAATGAGGGTGTAGCATGTGTGATGGATCCACACAGGTCTCCATGGATGAGCTCGAGTGGATACGAGGCTCGGAATGTAGTTTCCTGCAGAAAGGGTTGCTTTGTTTGCTTCCCAAGTAAGCATGATGTGCATGTTTCCTTTTCAATGTCAATACTAGGTATACCATCAACAAACTTGTTCCTGATCATTGCCGTCATTGCTTCTAAGTTTACATGACCAAGTCGTGCATGCCATTTAGAACACTCAGTAGTATCTAGTTGTAAGATTTTAACATTCTCACGTACATGCAAGCTCACCTTGTATAACCTATTACTCGATCTAGTTGTCTTTAACATCAATCCGCCGCTACGATCAAAGAGCATCAGGACATCACCTTTCATATGTACCTCGCAACCAGCTTCTATGGCTTGTCCCAACCTAACTATATTAGATTTTAGTCCAGGTATGTAGTATACGTTGTGCAATATCTTCTTCTCATCACCTTTGAAAATAAACTAACTGGAACCTTTTCCTCGTATATCAATACGCGAGTCGTCGCCAAATCTGACCTTCCCAGAGATTGTTTCATCAAGTTTCACGAAAAAGACCTATCCCACTCATGTGGTTGCCAAATGTTTCATATCGGTTTCAGCTTCAAACACCTTTGGGTTTAGCTTCTTTTCATTAAGAAAAACGACATCATTCATCATTAGTCTATCAGCTTCCTCTGTATTATCAACCCCATTCTCGACGGTTTCTTGTAGTTTAAGTACTCTATCAGGACAATCAGACGTGTAGTGACCAAGTTTATCACATCGGAAACATGTGATATGTGATATATCTCTTTCTTGTAGCGGGTTCTCTCCTTGGCTCTGTTTGTACGCATCTCGTTGTTGATAGAAGCTTCCACGACCTCGACCTCTGCCTTGCAAATTAGAGTGACCTCTTCGTCCCCTGAAGCCACGACCATTATAATTGTTGTAGCCACCGGTGTTGGCATACATTAATTTTCCTTGGTCATCTTGTTGTTTTTCTTCTTCTGCACAAAGTCTATCTTCGTATGCTTTTAAACGTCCAACAATATCTTCAAAGCTCGTTGAGTTTAAATCCAGAACCTGTTCAAGTGAAGCAACAAGAGGGAGGTATTTTCGTATTGGACAACTACTTAGAAATTTCTTCACAAGCTTCGATTCTTCTATTATTTGTCCAAGAGACGCATATGTGGATGATATCTTTGATAGTTTTCCAGAGAAGAAATCAATGGTATCTTCTTCCTATATCTTGAGTTGCTCAAATTCCGCCATCAATGTTTGAAGTCTTGCTTCTCTTAATCTTTCAGCTCCTACATGTCCAGCCTTAATAGCATCCCATACAGACTTAGCTGTATCAAGATCTCCAACCTGCAGCGTTAGGGCTTCTGAGATGGATTGAAATATCATGACAATAGCCAAGTTATTCTTCTTCTCGTTTCTGCTTCCTTGATCGATGGTTTCCCACACTTCATTCACCTTGAGAGTCATCTTCATTCGTATCGCCCAAACGGTATAGTTGGTAGAGTTCAACATGGGAAAACGAATGGAGGTTGGTCCGAAGTCCTTGCTTCTTATCTCGAGTTCTTCCTTGACATTGCTCATGGCTCTGATACCAATTATAGACTATCACAAGATCAATTCAAAAACACTTTTTGTATTGCTTTAGAAAAATAAATCAAAAACTAAAGCCGTCAATCGCTCACACAATTCGTACGAGATGAAACACAATATGCATCTCCTTATATAGGAATAGATAACTCCTAAACCTATTAGACTTAACATATTTC